ACAAAAGCCTTCAGTTTTATTAAGCAGACCTGCGGAGGCACCAGCACCAGCATGACACACTAGCTCCCTGGGACTTCGCTTATGGGAAGCTTCCCCACCTCCGGTCATCTTTGAAAACTCTCTCTACAATTCCAAGAATACTAAAAAACAAAACCAAATCACCATGGCAGATCTATATCTAAATCAATCAATATATATATATACACCAATAGGTGTGTGTAAGAAGAAAGAAATGGTGCCCCTATTCTCTATTGCATTGCATTGACCAGGAAGGACATGTTTTCGAGGTGGAGCTGGGCCCTTTGAAGGGTTTTTAGGACTGACTGCAGTCAGACGTGAACGAAACACTGAATTGAAGAGGTCCAACTTTAGGCTTCTGGCAATTATGTGGAAGGGAATGAGAAGAAGATCCCAAAGTGAAAGGTTTTTTATTTTTATTTTATTTTATTTTTTTCTGCTGTAAGCCAACTATAGATAAAAGATTGGGTGTTTGCTCAACTATTTTTCATAAAAGAAAAATGAATATTAACGCTTATTTTCTGAAGGGCTTGTTTTTTGGTTTGCTTTTTGATTGGGAAGCTGATGGTGTCAGATCAGAACTTTATTTGCCTGTTAAAGAGAGCGATACCATCGCTAAGCGCTCGGTCAGAAGGCTCGTTATCAGTCGAGAGAGGTCCCAAATTCTCAAAAAATGAGAGGGAAAAAAAAAACAGACACCGAGGAGGCAAATTTTTTGATCAAGATGTACACAAAGATGGACTTCATATTGTGGCTGGAAGTTAATATTTTATTTTTACTGAAAATCAACTTTTTTTGTCAAAATTAATTAATAAATCTACAAACATACATACATGCATACATACATACATACATACATATGTATGTATGTATGTATATGAAAAATGAGCATACAAATCCTATTTTTGAGGCATGTCAGAGACTATGGTCGTGATATCAACGCTAGCATTTTCAAGTAAGAAAGCAGGTCTAATTCGAATGAAAAGGCTGGGATACAATGACTCATGCTACTTTTTGTGTGGTTTGAAAGGCACAGAGGAATGGCAAGGCTATGCATTAAACCTGATCTAGATTCCCATGGCACTTCCTGATGATCCTGTGGTTTTATGGGATACAGTGTAGTTCACCTCCTGTTGAACTACCATGCCTTCAAGTTCAGGATATGCCCTGGAGAGTCTGAGAAGAACTGGCAAGGAAATGCACAAGATGCCCCAGTGTTGTTGCTGAGAAAACGCCAGAGATTTACCTTGTCACAAGCGCGAGGATCAGCATCGATCCTTCTTGTTTGAACTAATTAGTCTATAGTTGTATTATTTGTGTCTGCTCACGTTAATCCCATCACCATCTGTTGCAATTTAATTAATAAGTTTTTTTATTTACTTAATAAAAATTACCAGTATTACAATCATCAGAATTATTAAAAACTTATAAAATTATTGATTTTAAAGCCTAAAGGGATTAGTTAATATATACAAAAACTGGTCCAAACAACTATAATTAAAATAAAAAAACTCGAAGCATAAACATGGCGGAACATTTTGGGTCATGATCAGTAAATAAAATGGTAGCTAGGTTAAATCAACAAAACAAAACCAGATTTTCTTACTGTTGTCTGAAAGTTTGTCTGCACTGCATTGATTTACTAAGAATATCTTAACTTTGATCATTTATTTGCTTGCGAGTTGCCTGTGACAAATGATGCAAATGTATGTTCTTCTATCGTTTCCAGCCTTAGCTTCTATAATCTTCATTGTCATCGTTTGCTAATATATTTCTGGACAGGCAGTTAACAGTTTGCTTCGGTTATCATATAACTTTTTTTTTTTTTTAAGATTAAATGTTCCGAGGAATTGGGTTGTGGATCGATTCGATTTCTTTCGGAAAGGGGACAGTTAAAATATAAATATAGTGGTGGCCAGAGAGAATCGCTGATTTTTCATCTTCACACTCACCTTTTCCCTTTAGTTGCTTTTTAAACCTCATTGATTTTATTTTTTTCAATTTATATGTGTCACTCATCAAATATGTGGCGGGCAGAGGGTTCAAATTAATCATCGAGCAAGGATTTAATTAATTAAATATTGAATTGAGGGGGCAAATTAAACACTTGAAGAACTACACGGACAACATGTCATAGATCTAAGGGAAATCCCATCCTCCTGATAAATTGGTGGACCTAAACGGTAGTAAAACGATGGATGCTTGTTTTCGGGAGCAATCAAGCCCAGAAAGGCTCGTCAGGCTGTTTACCAGGAGGTGAGGCCATCACAAATTTTGTCAAATTATGGAATCGAAACAGTTTTATTTCTGCAACAAAAGCACATGGCCCGCACATGGGACTGCGAGGATGAATTTAAATCAGGAAAAGAAGAAAAAGGGTGAAAAGGTTTAATCCATGCTTCCTGCCGCAGATACTGTTATGGAGTGTAGTTGGTTTTTTTTTTTTTGATGTTTTTTAAGTATGTGTTTGTTTTGAAAGAAATATCAAATTAATATTTTTAATAGTTTTTAATGATTTTAATGCACTAATATCTAAAATAAAAAAATATTTAATATATTTTCAAATAAAAAAATCCAATTAAAAAAACGAGTTAAGTCAATCCAAATCAACCTACTAATCCTGAACCATGAGATCGAGATAATCCTATAAAAAATAAATTATAAAAAATCTTAAAGTTTAAGTTTTAATCAATCAAATTTTAAAAGATAAAATAAAACAATCAATTAAAAAAATATACAAAAAACTATCCAAGTCAACATAAATCAATTGATAAAAGAAATAAATTATAAAGTCTAATTTTTAATTGATCAAGTATTAAAAGATAAGTTAAAAAAAACCAGTTAGCCTAACTTACGATCCGAGTTACAAGATTGTGATAATCTCAGAAAAAAAAATAAAAAAATAAAAATATATATAAAAATTATTTCGATATATTTTAAAGTAAAAAACAATTTTAAAAAGTATTTAACACCACATTATCAAACACATTCTAATTTATATACATGTTTCAAGATGTATTTAAGAGTGTGTTAATAATTGCTTTTTAAGATGTTTTTTTATCATAAATAAATTAAAATAATATTTTTTAAAAAAATATTTTTAATATCAACACATAAAAAACAATAAAAATAAAATTTTTAAAAAACATAGTTATAATAATATTTCTAAAAAAAACCCCTAAGTCCCGAGGAACTTGTATTGGGTTCGAAGACCAAGATCAAAAGAACAGTTTACTCAAATAATTTTGTATAGGTATTGACTATCGAGCGTAGCCAGTAGTGTAATGTATTTTGTCTTCAATGTCCTCCTCCTCCACAGAAGAGGGGTACTCCTCTTGACCAAGAACAGTGGTTTTACGGATTGCTATTTTTCAAGCAATGAAATTTGAAATTATATAATGGCTGCTAGCATCTTTGCTTTTGTGGGACAGCTGCCCGCACGCATATCATACAATCACTTCCCATGTTTTGCTGTCTAGAATGTTTTTTCGTGGTGATTCTCTAGTAAATTATGGTAGTAAAAGTCATTGTCTTTGCTCCCCGTAGCATGAATCTGTCGCCGTCCCATCGCTCTGAAGTTAACTCTCCGGCGAGAGCCTGAATGGAAGCAGTTTGACATCACCCCAGGAGGCAACTTTCACCAGCCCTTTCTCGGATGACGGGCAGTGATAATAAAACAATAATAATAATAATAATAATTGAGAGAGTTCATGTTTAATCATATGCAATCACGTTGCCTGCATTTTCTTTATTTTGATAGCTCTTCAGGCCTACAAATCGAAGGCCTCGACCAGGCCTCCCGGCTTGTAATAATTTATAAGCCAAGTAGTACTAGCTAGACCAAATGCAGACTAATCACATGGCTTGGGACGGGGATGCTGGTTTCTCTTTGGGAATGAAAGATGAATCTGGATTGTGTGAATGATCGGATTCCAAAAAAAATTACCAGATTTCCAGAGCTACTGATTTAATTATTGTTTTTTTAAATAACGAAATGTTCCTTTTTCGCAAATGCTTAAATACTCCTAGGGTTGTAATTTTTATTTTTCAAAATATTTTTAAATTCTTTTATATTTTTTAAAAATATTAAATTAACATATATAAAAAATGAAACTAAAAAAATATTTTTTAATATATTTTTAATTGAAAAAAATGCTTAAAAAAACTAAACATTAAAAAAAAAATTATTTTTCAAATAAACTAGTATCATGCATTATCGAATTATCAAAGCTTGCATTAAGATTAGTTTTTTTATTTTATGTATCATAAATATTTTGTTATTTATAAGTGGATTAGTTATATTTTATATACAGATAAAAGCTAAAATTCTAAAAAATATCAGCCATTTTTTTGAATTAAATCAAATAGACAAACTTAATTTTGGCGTGTATAAATAAATTATCCTAAAGAGACTTTTGACAACGAAAAAAAAAATCCTTTACATCAAACTTTTTATCCTTAAAAAAATCAGATGGTCTTGCATGCATGTTTGAAAGTGGTAATTTTCAACCAATAGCACTGGCACACTGTAAAAAATTCATGGAGATTGTTTAGCGTTTGTTATTTTCAACTGTAAATATTTTAACTTAAAAATATATTTTATTATTATTTGAATGCATTAATTTAAATATATATATATATATATTTAATATATTTTTAAAAAATCATTATATACTTACGGTACCAGACATCACGCGCTAGAGCCAATCCTAGCCCCAACTGTAGTCCATTAATCCAAAGATTTGACATCCTAGAACAGTACAACCACACATATTTTATTTTAAAAGCGGTCCTTCATTAACCCAAAACCAAGCAATAGGGACCACCTAACTAAATAAATAAAATACTCAACTACTGCCAATTAGACACAGGTGCGTGATACATCACCCCACCTGCATGCTGCATACACGCGCGCAGGCGCATCATTGCCAATTTTACCATTGCTGCAGGAACTCACACATGCAGCCTCCTTCCGCACTCTCCTGAGCATGTGTCAACTTTCCACTTATTATTCTGCAGCGACAACAAAAAATAAACCCTAAAAAATTACGTGTCTGCTTCTCCTGTTAGTTATGACCCTCTCTCCCCTGACAGTTTCTACGATCGACTGCATGCTGCGCTAGTACCATCTTTTTACTCATTTTACAGCACCCACCTGCATTTCCGTCACCAATTTTTCGAAGTGTTGCTCTAAATCGTCCACCTACATGCCCAGGGAGTCATCTCTGGTTAGGTAAACAAACACAGACTCCTTGCTTGCTACTGGTTGTTACTACTTTCATTACACTTGTTGCTTAATTGGGACTCTGTGATTTGGTTCTGTGGCTGTAATTCTGGCTTTTTAACTCCTTTCTTCTTCTTTTTCAAGTAAAAAGATAGAAAAAAGGGAGACTGGACAAAAAAGGGTTGGATTTTTAACAGGGAAAATGTGGGTACGAGAGTAGGTTCCTTTATAGCGTCTGCAAAATCTCTTTCTTGCCCTTCTCTAATTGAAAAGGTTGTCTTTCTAAACGATCCTTTTTTTTTTTTTTTGCCTGTAAGGAAGTAATTTCATTTAAAAAAAAAAATAGCTGCCTCTGTTGTTAGAGAAAACTGTATAGAAGTTGACATGGCAGTTAAAAAAAGTGAATCTTTCATCTTTTAATTTGTTTATTTCTATATTTAGGACATGGGATTTGTTTTTTTAATTGGGGGACTTTCGGGGTTTAGAATAATGGTATTACAGTTCATTTTTTGTCAGCAAAACGCGTTCCATATCCTTGTGGCTGTGGCGGTGGCTGGTTGCTTAGTGGCTTGAATCAGATCTGCTTTTTTTTGTTTTTCCCGTCTCTGCTAAGAAACACAAAACCAGACATTCTTGCTTCTTCCTGGTATTTCACATTCTCTAACTAAAGTTGGCAACTTGTATTTTATCACACTATAAATCTAATGTTACACGGTTTTAGTTAGGCTGGCTTTTGGTGCATAGATGTTTTTTATATTTAAGGTATAAAATAGAGCTCTTGGCCTTCTAATTGAGATTATGTTTGTCATTGTTAGGCTGATTGTTCATAACAGATGCAACTGCCTTTAATTGCGTCCTTAGTTAAGATGTGTTCATGTTCTGCTTGATCTTAAGTTTTGCACTTGCTTTGCTCTGTGACCGAGGACCGCGGATTGTTAGAATAATTGGTGATTGAATGAAAAATATTTGAATTTCAGCGTTGAGTTTTGATTTTCACGCCAACGGAATTGGTGGGTTTGATATATCCTGGGAGAACCACGGATATCAAGGAAGTTGTGTTTAAGTTGAGTTGGACTGAATATAACCATAAGCACTTGGAATGTTGGGTTGTGATATGCTTTTGACACCAAAGAATCAGTAACTTGGAGGTCTGAGGTCCGGACTCCGAAGGCTAAGATATTGGAGTTGAAGATAATGGCTTCGGGAGAAAGTAGGCGTCGACGTGATAATCTTGTGCCTCTTGCTGCTTTGATCAGCAGAGAAATGAGGATTGAAAAGATGGAGAAGCCAACTGTCAAATATGGCCATGCAGCTCAATCTAGGAAAGGGGAGGATCATTTCCTTATTAAGATGGATTGTCAGCGGGTACCTGGGAATTCGTCATCTTCATTTTCTGTATTTGCGGTAATCCTTACTCTCTCAACTCCTATTATGCCTTCAATCCCTGGTGAATACAGTTTCTTTTGCATCTTTGCGGAAATGAGCACATGGTGCACGAAACCTTGAGCTGGGTGATATATTTCTTTGTTGTCCACTTTGCCGTGCTGTTTTCCTTTTGTAAAACCAACTTTACAAAGAGTTTTGGAGTTGGTTTTTTCATTTTTTTTCAATCTATTTGATTTGGTGATCTGATATTCTGAAGAATCTGATTCTGTTGTTGACGAAGGGCATAGTTGCTGCGTACGTAACAACTTTCCCTTTTCCAGTCCCTGTTATAGTACTGTATGTAAATTCATAAACTACATGGGTTTTATTGACCTCCTTGCATAGAGTTCAGAAACAAGAAAAGTATCTGTAATTTTGCACATGAATACAACCTTGTTTTGAATGATTATAGAGCAGGTTGTAGACCTGAATGTTTTTTCTTTTGCTGCATCTGTGTCTCTCTTGATCTATAATGGTCATTGTTCTCTCCTGACTGTCAGATCTTCGATGGGCACAATGGAAATGCTGCAGCAATTTATACAAGAGAGAATTTGTTGAATCATATTTTGGGTGCTATGCCTTGTGGTCTTGGACGTGAGGAGTGGATTCAAGCTTTACCTCGTGCTTTAGTTGCTGGATTTGTGAAGACTGATAAGGAGTTTCAGAGCAGAGGCATGAGATGTTTTACCCTGATTCTTCAGTTCTTTTTATCCCTTTTAGATATTCCATTCCACACTATATTGTTATGCATCTAGTTAACACTAATATTTTCTGTTTAAATGTATGGCGTGCCTTTCTTCAGGAGAAACTTCGGGTACTACAGCAACATTTGTAATAGTTGATAGACGGACTGTTACTGTTGCTTCTGTTGGAGACTCACGTTGTATTTTAGATGCTCAGGGTGGTGCTGTTTCCTCCTTGACTGTTGATCACCGACTTGAAGAGAATGTGGAGGAGTACGTGTCTATTCTCAAGATCTTATACATTCCTAAAAATTGGACAGAAGTATAATCTATTGTACATAATATGCAGGAGGAAAAGGGTGACTGCAAGTGGTGGGGAAGTTGGAAGGCTTAGCATTGTTGGTGGTGTTGAGGTGAGGTGGTTCTAGACCCTGTACATTATTTTTATTACAATTGTTAAAGTCTAACTGCCTGTCACTGAAATGGATGTTCCTTCAAGTGATGATAATTTTGGTCTAAATCCTTAATACTTTACAGATTGGTCCTCTTCGCTGTTGGCCTGGAGGTTTATGCCTTTCTAGGTCAATTGGAGACATGGATGTTGGAGAGTTTATAGTTCCTGTTCCATATGTCAAGCAAGTGAAAGTAATAATCATTTTCATTCCACTTCTATTATGCATTGAGTTTATAGTTCCTGTTCCATGTGTCATGGAAGTGAAAGTAATAATCATTTTCATTCCACTTCTATTATGCATTGAGTTTATAGTTCCTGTTCCATGTGTCATGGAAGTGAAAGTAATAATCATTTTCATTCCCCTTCTATTATGTTTTTTTTTTTTTTTTTGTTGATTATATTTCAGTCTTTCTATTATTTTCTTTCTTTGAGTGCAAAGCCTGTGCGTTAATACTGCTGTCCGCATTACAAACTCTAACTTGCTCCATTCCCTTTAAAGCTGTCAAATGCAGGTGGGAGGCTTATAGTTGCTTCTGATGGCATATGGGATGCCTTGTCCTCAGAAATGGCGGCAAAATCTTGCCGTGGGTTGCCAGCTGAACTTGCTGCCAAACAAGTTGTAAAGGTAATTAAAATTCTTTTATGTGGCGCTTCTCCTTTGCATGTCTTGTTTCAATGACCCTTCAAGTTTCTAAGATGGGTTTAAAATAATATATGTGCTAATATTGTGGGAAAAGTTTCAACTAATATTGCTTTAATGAATGCTTGTGTTATAATAAATGCTCAAATTGCTTTCTTCATTTTATATGGTCTTCTGTAGGAAGCTTTAAGGACACGGGGACTAAAGGATGATACAACCTGCATAGTTGTTGACATAATTCCTCCTGACAATTCAATTCAGCCTCCAACTCCTCCCAAGAAACATAACAAGCTAAGAGCCTTGTTGTTTAGGAAGAAGTGCCATGATTCTTCCAGTAAGCTATCAAAGAAGCTTTCTGCCATAGGTACAGTTGAAGAACTGTTTGAAGAAGGCTCGGCTATGCTTGCTGAAAGGTTAGTACTGCAATTTTTGCATGCATATTCTCACATTGATCTTTTCCTCTGTAATACTCCACCTAGTATCCTATTCATTATTGAATTTATAGTATGAAAAGTAAGTTTTTTAATGAAGACATCCGAAGAAGAAATATGCATCATGCTTTATTTTCACGTTATATGTTCTCACTGAGTTAACCCCCTGATGGTTGCAAACAAACTCTAGAATAATTATTTTTTAGGAGGCATTATCAGCTTTCCTTTTATGAGAGGACAAGGTTGCTCATAACCATCATGAGTTATAACCAGTGCAGGGGGATTTTGTCTGAGATCATATCGTTTATTATTAAATATTTTGAAATTGTGCACATAACTTCCCCAGCTGTAATTTGTCATTATTTGGACCTGAGTCAATTTTTTTCTTCCTCTCCCCCTTTTTATCTTTTTATTCATGGTGGGGGTGTCATCTTTTGAGTGAACATCCTAGAAAAGTGATTTAAGGTGCAGCCTCCCTGCTTTTCAGGTCTTGGAAATGGTGGCAGTGGGATGGGACTTTGATGGATTTAGATTTGAGCTTTAGGAATAAGAGAGGAAAACAATTTTTTAAACAGTATCTTTCATTTGAATGTTGTAATTTGCTAATTGGCAACTGGTAATTTAACTTATAGCAAATAAGAGAAACCTCGAGCCTTATTTATATCTTCGATGAATCCAGTGATGCAGTAGCGTATAAAACAATGCGGATGTCTTGAATCCTTTGTACTTTGAGCATGCAGAATTTGTTTTCTTACCCTAAAATGTATTAGGTAACAGGAACACTGCATAACATCTAGTTAAATTTGTTTAGTTGATGTGCTAGCGGGGTTATCCTCATTCATTGGTCCATTTCTTATCATGCATGCGTATATTTTGGGGAGCTCTTAGCTTGTATCAATGTCTAAATCTTAAGTTGTGTCCTCCAGACTTGGGAACGGGGATCTTTTACTGTATCTATGTTTACATCTGAATTGTGATGTATCAATGTCTACATCTCAAGTTGTGTCCTCCAGACTTGGGAATGGGAATCTTTTACTGTATCTATGTTTACATCTAAATTGTGATTTTTCACGTGGGCTACAGATTAGGGAATGATGGCTCCACATCGCAATCTACATCTGGTCTTTTTACGTGTGTTGTCTGTCAAATTGACCTTGCTCCAAGCGAGGGCATCTCTGTTCATGCTGGTTCTATCTTCTCCACCAGCTCAAAGCCTTGGCAAGGGCCTTTCCTTTGTGCTGATTGCCGTAATAAGAAGGATGCCATGGAAGGAAAACGCCCGAGTGGAGTCAAAGTGGCCTAACTCTTTGATTTTTCCACCCATTCTTGCTCCCGCAATATTTTTTGTAAACGACATTTATTTAGGGAAGGAAATTGTTTGAATGTTACTACGATGGTACAGCAGATGTATATGTAATATATATGCCTATAATATTAAACGAGTCTTAATATTCAAGGAAGAGTTGGTCTAAGAAGCACCTGCTTGGAGCTTCAAAAATTTTGTTTGTCCATAATATTTGCTGGTATGGTTGCTATGCTTGCCATCGTCTCTGTGCCATGTAGAGGAGTATTCGTTTAATCACTTTAGCGCCGGAGAAGGGTATTTAATCCTCCATCAATCTTGCATGATAACACAAGGACGCTAGACTAAAAGTTGGAAGTACATTCTAGGTGGTTTGGTTTGCGGGGGGACTGAAGTTGGCAGCAGATTGATTTTGTGCTGGGAGAGGGAGCGATTATCTATGGAGGAAAGAGAAAACAATAATGCTTTTCAAGACCGAACTTTGTAAAAGAAAGGCTGCCCTTGCAGTTGTATCAGCTGGGCTCCCAAGGTGATCCTAGATTTACGACAAGCTAGGAGGGGCTAAACTCGCCCTTTCTTCTTGTGTTACAATGAATGTTGAAAGGAACAGGAATCGTCGTTGAGTCTGAAACTTTAATTAGCACTCATGGCCTCTCCTCTCGAAGGGTTTCAGGTTAATTTATGCATGCGTTGTTTGGAAAGCTTTGTCGTTCCCGTTGAGCCAGTTTATTTGTGGAAGTTTTGAACTCGGTTTTATTGACCTCATATTGTTCAAATGGATGTATGATGTAAATTTGCTGATCACATAATTGCAACCGGGATGTTTAAAGATCTAGTCCTGTTGTTCTTGGTAGTGGCCCAAGATTAACAATATTAACCTCAATTTTGACCCTGTAATTTACACTTAAACAGCGAGGAAGAGGGCTAAATAAACTGGTCTGCTACCCCCTCCACTATTGCCAGATTACTTCTCCATCTCGCCTGCCCTGTTAGAACAGTCTAATATGTAACAACACAACCTGCTTGGTGGTAGAAATGTAGAGAAATTGAACGGAGCCTTGAATCCTCACAGATTCCAGCTAAATTGTTCTTTTCGTCACCTCCAAGATCACCGGTGGATTCCCTCTCGTCATTTTTGAGTGTCACGAAGCATCTGCTTGGTATCAAGTGACTCTCATTGTGCTATCAAGTCGATGTTCGTTTCTCAGTAACACGAAAGTTTCTGGTAAATGCTTTCGTCTTGATATAAGGGGTATGCTAAGGGTCCAACTAAAAGAAGGATTTAGTTGCTGTTTATTTACGCGGCTGTGACTGTATTTTAGTTAAAATGTAGTTTGTAATCGTTTGATAAAAAGAAAAATTAGTTTATTGTGCATGGATCCCATGTAATTTTTACATTTAAAACACAGTTAATAAAAAGCAGATAAATACTGTTATTCATTCACTATATATGTTAATTGCACTGTTCAGTGAACAGTGTAATTCACTGCACTGTTCATAGTGAATTGTTCACAGTGAATTGCACTGTTTATAATTTCATAATTTTTTTTTTAGTATTCATTTAATTTTATTATATATTTTTAAGTGTTAATTTAATTAATGTTTTTTAAGTGTTAATTTTATTAATATTTTTTTAAGTGTTAGTTTTATTAATATTTTAAAAAAAAACTAGTTTATAGTAAATTAAATTTATTTGCACCGTGATGTGAATAATATTTTTTTCTCGAAAAACTAATATAGAGTAAATTAAATTCACTCGCACTGTAATATCAATTTTATACTTGATAATATTTTATTTAATTTTATTACATGTTTAAAAAATTATGAAAATTGTAATTCTTATCGAATAAATTTTATACATAATGTATTATAAATAGTTTAATAAAATAAAAAAAAAATATTTTATATAAAGTATTATTTATTTCATGATATAATAGGAGTAATTAATTCTATAATAGTTAAATTTAAAATCATCAATATTAATATATATTTTTAAAAATTATTTTATAACTTCAATTTCGAAAGTTTTTTTTAACCAAATATATTAAATTATTTTGAAAAAAATTTTAATTAAACATATTAAATTATTTTTTATTCAACTTTAATTTCAACCACAGTTTTAACCAAACATCTATTTTTTCAAACCAACCTCAACTAAAAATATTTTTTATAAAATAATTTTTTTCAAACCACAGCCATAATATCTACCGCAACACTAAATACAGTCTTAACCTCTATTCATGAAAGTTGCTATGAAGAGACCTTTGCCATTGATACCTTAAAAAGATTACATGAAACTTATTTTGCAATATAAATTAAACGCATGCTTGGACAACATCACGGACTTTCAGCAAAGAAAAATGAGTGAATTAATTCTGAAAAGTGAGTGAATTAATTTTGAAAAATGAGTGAATTATGTTCAAAATTGTCGAGGTTATTCTGTAAACTACGCTTGTCTTGTGTTGTGAGAAACCGAAAAATTGGACCAGGCAAATGATGCTTGCGTATCAACGAGTCTTGATCTATTTCTCAAAAGAAAAGGAAAAGGGAGAGAGAAAATCTTAATCAACAGCCCAACCACTCGCTTTGGGCTAGAGATGGCCATTGAATTTATGGATTTGATTTTTTTTATATTCACGTCATTACTGATTAAATAATAAATTAAGATATTTATATATTATTTATTGGATTTAAATTTATACACACACACACACATATTAAATCATAAATTTTACAACATGCATATATTATATTGGATTCTAAACAATATAAATGTTTTATGTATATAATTATACAATACAAATATATATCTCGAATTAATTTTGAAATTGAATTTAAATCGAGTTTAACAGTATTTATTTTTTATTCATTATTTATAAAATAAAATAATTATTTGAAAAACCTATTCATTCAAATAAAGTCACATAAATATTTATCAAATTTAAATTAAGTTGTCATTTCTAATTTTGCTTTAGATAACGGGCTTATACATGAACCGGCTCGGCTAGTCCCGTTATTATTGATGTTGCAAGCCCAAATTCTTTATTTACTATTTAACATTAACAATTGAAAAAAGGAATTTTTACTCTTGTTCACGCTAACACTATTTATTTGCACTGTTAGAGAGACTCGTTTTACTTTGTTTTTGCTCTTCTTCTTCTTCTTTTTTACTTCTTTTCTCAGAGTTTTAAGAGTTTGCATTTCCAGCATGACGCTTTATTGCGGTTCATAATAGTTAAGAGAGAGAAGATAGAAGTGCCAAAGAAAAAGAGGAGAGAAAACACTATTAGTACTTGTAGTAATCAAGTGTAAAATCATTGAAGTAGGGTACTTGTAAATACATTCAAGGAAGAAGAGTAATTAAGAACTTCCATGCTTATATCCTATTAACATAACAGAACAGAGAATCAAAGAGCTTTAAAGTCTAATCTCTTGTGAGGGAATATATGCAACATTTATACAAATGAATAAAGAGTGAAATCATTCAATAAACCTATGAGTTGAAGTGCATGACATTGGGAGCAAACCTTAACAGCCGTTCTAAAGCAGTAGGCCAGAATTTCCTTGCAAACAGGAAACAAGTGTTGGTGCTATTCCCATTATACACGCATTTGCTGCCACTCCTCATCCTTTCCAGGAACTCAACGGTCACCTCTCTTCTTAAGAACTTGGCAGGATGAGCTCCACCCCTCGACCAATCAACCCAAGTCAAACTCCTATTTGAGTTCCTCTCCGAGTGCTTCATACTCACAAATGTTGGTAAATAGTGTTCATCAGCGTAACATTGTCCCTTGCAGTACTTTTGGAACACGGGAAAGTATTCTTGGTCTGAGACAACTTCAATGGCAAGGTCTCGATCCATTTCGAACCATTGTGAGCCTTTTCTCCATTGTTCAATTTTGATCACAGGTCTCATACGTGGATTGTATCGGCCATTACCTACTGGACCGTCTAAAACATAGGACTCCACATGATTTTTGGTTGAGTTCATTAGGTAAGTGTAGACCGTGGAGAAGTCGAAGATTGGAATGCATGATTCTGAGAGGAGAACAAAACGTTGGTTAGAAATGTCAAGGAGTGCATTGGCTAATAGTCGTCTTTCAGCTTCAATTATGTTTGTATTCCCCCACTGAACATCCTGCATCATGACACATAACAAGAAAGTGAGAGTCGATGATTAACAAAACCCAATGGCTGTAAAAACTCTGTTTGGAAAGTCAAGAAAAAATCACTGTACTAATTTATGCAGACACTTGGATCTCTCTCTATTGCACTATATTTCTTTTGATAAGTTCGGAGACCTTAGTTAATACTTTCATGTCAAGCTCCTCTTTAGTTCGGAGTGCAAGAAGTGTAACTTCCTTTTCTTTTTCAGTGAAGATTAATCTTGAAATAGCTCTCATACATCGAAATTAAAATAGTAGTCTGCATTGATTCCCCCCCCCCAGTGAACTGCGTGATACAGAAGGCATTTATTTTATCTTTTCTAGGAAAAGTAGTCTGTTACGCGTGAGTGATTACAAAAGTCTTCCACTCCAAATTCTTTTTTTTTTCTTTCCCGTATAGAAATCACGAGGGCATTAACCAATCCACTATTGCTATTAATTAAGAAAAAAAATAAAATATCAATTACCAAGAGCTAATTTGTGCAACAGAATTGATGTTGATTGAGGATCAAAACAAAAGGATGCAAATGTTAAATTCACATGATTGAATCTCAAGAAACTATGCAAAAAACTGACCTTACTGGGAATTCTTCTGCCATGAAAGACAGGACTTTCTGGTTCAGATTCATTGTAAGACGGACTTGAGTGCACATAAATTGAGTACAGCCCCTCATGCCCCTGGAAGAATCTCTCCCACAGTGGAGCCATCAAAACTGGACCTTTTGTCAAAAACATAAAAGCAACCTTAGGAACTCTATCGAATGGATATTCACGAATCCTTGGAGTCATTGAAGCTCTCCATAGCAATTCCTTTTCATCCATATCATGCTTGACATCAGGCACTTTCAAATGTTCTTTCAAGCCTATGCGTGGCAACTTAAATGTTGGTAATGTTGCCAATGGAACAGGTGTTGTGGTTGTGGTAGAAACAGAGAATTGGCTGACATGTAGATTGAATGATACGTTTTTGAGATAGGAACTAAGAACGACCCCAGTGGCAAGACCACAGCCAAATAAAAAGAAAAAAGAAAGGACATTGACGAGTTGCAACTGGGCATTGAATAGCTTCGTAAATGTAGTGGGCAAATTCTGTTTTTGACCCCTCATGATAATTATTGGTTGCTCTAATCTGATGTATGGAACAAAGGAGCTCGATCAATAGCTTGAAAGAACTAAAGTAGCAGCAGTAGTATTCTCGCTAACAAAGGCTTCAAAACTGTTCTTTTATTGATCCAACAAGCAGCTGTTTTCTTTGAGCACAGGAGATGTCAGTTGGGAAACATGATGATAATATCTCAATAATACTATCAAACAAACGTTTGTTATGAATAGCACAGTAAAGATGATGCCCAAGCAAACAAATATGATGATAACTAGAGTTGTTTGTTAGAGAGTTTGTGTCAACTGATCAAAGCTAATGATACAATATGAAAGAGAACGAAATCTGAGACACTAAACAGTATGCAAGCAAATATGGGAACTTTTCAAGCTAAGGAAAGACAATCGATGGAGAGCGGTCAAGAAAGACAATGCAATTTTTATGACTTGCGAGAGAGATTGATGGGGAACTAATAGAAGATGAGGCGCTGGTGCCTAAATTAGTGGTGAGGCCCAATTGCCTTACGGTGGCTTTCTAGATCATTGTATGAGTTAGGACTTTTCTTTGTTTCAACAGTGAAACATCATGTTCAAAGACTCGAAAAAAAGAATACGTGTAATGATTCAAAAGCAAGTCGCAATTGCCTTTGACAACATTATTAGACTTAGGGGTTTTTTTCCCCGGAATAATAAATAACAGTCTTATATTTTTATCCAAGTTATGAAAAAGATTATTGCATGTGATCTCATAAATTCAACAATAGATTTTTTTTATAAGAATAATTAATTAGCTTCTATAAATTGTGGGGCGATAAAAAAAAATAAGTGGAAGCTAGTTTTTTTTTTTTTATTGTTATTATAAAGAAGAGGTTCGGATACAAGACTTTCGTAGAAGGATCCTGTTACCTGTTGTGCTCCTTGCGCATTGTCAAAGTGTAAACTGGTTCATACCATGTCAAAGTACTATGCGTGGTGGCTTAAACAACACGTCCCGTGAGGTGTTAACCAGTGAAAGGCCGCGGTGGCGGAGGCGGCCACCAAGGAAAATTTTCCCACGAGAAAGGTCCACAGGGTGGAATTACAGTGTGCATGGATTGATTATTCATGCAATTGATTAAGAAATCATTGCCAGCTACTGAAATATTGGGAGTGACTATTGGATTGCATCGTCACGGCAGATTAACAGCAATTTGTTCCGTATATGATAATATCATGTGTTACTCCAATTTTCTTTTTTCTTTCTTTCTTTCTTTCTCCGAGAAACTCCAGTTCTCAATTAGCGATCAGTGGTTATTTCATGAAGATTCGAAGGGAAAACGAAGAAAAACAAAAGACCCGATGACGTCTAATTCAACTGAAACAGTAAATTTATGGTATTTATGGCAACGCATGGCATGGCATACAGCTAGCGTCGTTAACAGTGATGATTTTATAACTTTTTACTCTGAGAAAGATCTATTATTTTCTCATTACGTATTATTCCCACCTCATTAATGATTATCTATAAATCAACTTCGCATTTATTAATGATTTTGACTTGAAAATAGACTACTTGCAAGGAAGCTTTTGTTGACCATAGAACTGGATCTTTTTCTTTTGAAACGGGCTTTAATATTCTCATAAACCAAGAGCATCCATGATGGACTGTTTCAAGTAGCCCAAAGGCTTTCAAATATACATAAATGATGATAGTTCACTCAAAGTCCTGAGGGCCTACTAGATTACCCAACGTTTTCACTCCCTTGGAACATCAAGGTGATCGAAAGGAAAAATAAAATCAAGGAAAAAGAAGACCAATTAGATATTTAGGATCCGAGGTTTTCTGAGAGTTTTCCCAACTCTGAAACATGTGTTTCGTCAACAGAGCAAGTTAGTTTAAAACATTTCCGATCTTGTTTTATCCGAATCTGATAGAATCCGTATGCAACTGGAAGATCTGAAAGCTTTGCCAGTTAGGAGCGATCTTTGCTCATATCATTGTGTCATAATTATTTGAATCATCTCACTAGTTTGCGGCTTCATCAGATTGTTGTACTCTAAAAATAACTGAACGCCAGGAGGTTCTAAGAGTGAAAACCAAGCGATCCTGGAGAAACTTCCTTGCAAAAAGGAAGCAAACTGTGGTGATGCACCATTACATGTGCAGTTAAATCCATTCCTGATCTGAATCAGGAATGCCTCAGAGACACCCTTC